AATGACCATAACAGCCTCTGTTGTCCTTGCTGGCATTATTATCTGTCTACACTGTTAGCTACTACAGCTGCTGTCAGTGCCAGAGAAATGAGGCCTAAAGCAAAGTTGGGGCGGGAGAAATGAGTTCCGTTAGGGGTCGGTGAACATTTATTACCTAGTATCAATATCTCCCGGCCTAAACCGGCAAGAAAGCGACCTCAGTGCTCGACTGTTAGGACACTAAACTCTGATCATAATGTCGCAAGTTAGAGGCTCGAGTGGTGCACCACTTGAGTCTGGGTATGACTGGCTGATGACGGTTTATATGCCAGAACTGGCCATTCCAGTCTCTATTGTCTTTGCCAGCAATATAATCTGTCTTTCTGACTCTTAACAACAGATTCAGCGTTGCAAGTGTGCTTCTGCAAGAACCCAAAAAATCAGTTTACAAGCCCGCGTTTGCTTTCAATAAATTCTCATTAGGCCATGGCATTTTTAACGAAAACGTGAGCAAGTAAAATGTGTGCTAAGATAAATCAACTACTTTTCTCCTTTTCACACAAATTCGACGTGCAAACATTGCGATGTTCGGAGCAGTGAATGCGTCACCTGGGGCGGGCAGAAAGTGGATGGAACAGGGAGACCTGCAGGCAGTTAATCGATATTTACCGTGAAATAAATGTAGGACTTGAACATGGTTCTTCTCGCCGCACAAGACCAATCTGCATAACTCACTGGCAACCGCTTCTGCTACTGCAAACGCACGCTGCCCTAGTTGTTTTGGGGTGTTTCGGTTTGATTTTAGTAATCACGGGAAATTGTCATTGTTTTCTATTACCCGGAAAACTTAGTGCCTTTCAATGGGATTTGTTGGGATATGTGCCGTTAGTTTGCATAAATTTTCCAGCGGGGCTAGGACATGGACATGTGTATGCTCCCCTTAGAATGAATGTATAACCCCTGGGATGCACCTTCTTACGTCTCGCGCCGAATGTTATAACAATATGCTACCCATTTGCGTTAAGGAACTGTCTTTAAAGTTGCCGCACTCTCTGGAGTTTCGGTGTCCCGACTCTTAAGGATGACAATCGGGTCACATTTTAGGTCTTTAGCCCCTCGAAATGCACTGAAATTGTCCTCCCTTTTTGATTGGAAACGCCATTCATCGGCATGTGTAAAATGGCATTTTCGGTCAACGGTATTAGACTTTGCCCACCTGAAGGACTTGCTACATCCAGTAGGTAAATTGAAACCGTATGTTGGGGAACTTGATCAATTCGCCTGTGCTAGCTGCTCTGTACGGAGAAAAATCAATGGCATCGCATATATGCAGAATAGTCGCATGCAGTTTCCCAACGTTTTCAGCCAATGCGTTAATTCTGTCGCAAACTCGTCTTGCCTCTTTTATAGACTGTAATCAAACGCATTTGCTCTGTGTTCTACGATCGCCTTGTCCTTACTATGATCAGTCTGTGAGCCCCAGTGCAAGAGTCCTGCCACCTGACGTCTGGACTAGGAGTTCCTCGAGCTGGCTTGATTATAATAGGGCTCCGGTCTATAGGCATCACAACCAACAGGCCGAACCAATTAATAAACAGCTACGGTGCTAGGCTCGATAGCCGACTGCCCTAATAGCAACCAGTTGTAATCCGATTATCGTATCCTTTCAAGTTTGGCATTTGATTGGTGGCTCGTAGGCCTCGGAATCGTGTCAGCGTGCCGGAAATGAAAGTGCAGTGATTGGTTAATCTAATTCGGTGACTGCACTTACAGGTGTCCATGGCCGTCTTCTATGCAAAATCGATAAGAGTTCGATCGTGTTCAGAGTGGGTTAAATACATTCCGACAGACGGCAGCAAAATTAGTCGGTAAGGGATAACTCCTAGGTCTCGGCAGGTGATAAGGGACGAATTGCATCGCAGACTCTAGGATGAATACGTTCTTTTTAGTAACCATTTTTCCTTAGGAGTTAATACAGAACTTTAATGCGGTTGGATCTGAAAGACTGCACAAGCAACGTTCTAACTAAACAAGACAAGTAAGCGCTGACGCCGTTCGCAAAGGTTTAACATGTGAGCAACTTTCTATGGAAGCATATTCATGCTTCTTTTCACCAGAAGACAGAGTCCTTTTCTCCCATACCTCCTGTGATTCACATCCAACCGCCGTTGCACGCTTAATATTTTCGACAGTGTAAATCCTCCTATTGACTAGCTTAATCCTTTTTTTCTTTTAACTATGCCTACCTCCTCCGCGTCGCTCACCAGCTCCGTCAGCAGATCAGCGGATTTACCTTCGTATCAACCGTCCGTTTGCCCTTGAACCGGACTCACTCTGCACCATGGATTTTCTCGAAGTTCGAGACGGCGCCTTCGGATTCTCGCCCCTGATTGGTCGATTTTGTTCCCGCCTTAAACTGCCCGAGGACAAGGAAATTGTCTCGACAGGACAGCACTTGTGGCTGCGTTTTCGCAGTGATGGCACTCTGCCACATACCGGCTTCAAGGCAGTCTACTACTTCCAGTCTGCTGGTAAGTTGGGTGTCTGTTCCTGTGTGGTATATGGGCTAGCGCTTAGCACGGGAGACGATACTTGACGTACGTACCAATACCAACTCCGGCACATTGGGAAAGTGGCGGAAATTCTAGGTGCAGGTTGAGGCCACACCAGTCTCCTGCGCTCGATCCTGCCCCCTGTCTTTAAGACCGCGTATTGATCCCAGGCACAGGAGACTGAGGTAGGAGATAGCGTGGTAGATACAGCGCAAGCCAGCGTCCCTGTGCCACTAGGCCGGTCCAACTGTCTGTTCCTGTGATGAAGCGATATAAAATATGGGCACCCACGTATAAATAAAACCCAGAGGCAATTTCATGAGCTTGGTAAGCTTTGATGTGGGGTGAGCGTGTTGAGATCTCGTTTCCCAAGTGGACAGCTACTCGGAACCACTGTACGCATTCTGCTAGACCCCCCTGGGAGCAATAATCGGGACCGGTC